TGTCTGGCATTTAATCTAGGATCTCCTGGTGACCAATAGCTTCGGAATCTACTTACATTGAAAGTAAGTAATATCGTAGGTTGTGACGACAAAAAAATCTCCATAACAGCGTAACTTGCACTGTCGAGTGTGGTTTAACGGTTTCTGCACCTCTCTTGTGTGTAACTGTTGCGTTGCATCCAACTTGCACCCTCTTGTGGTTCACGACGCGGTTTCGAGTCCCGTTGGGCGAGTGCGGATGAGAGGCAGTGAGACGAGTTGGAAATTGTAGTTCAATCCAGTTCCGTCTTGAGAGGCGAGGCCTGCTCATCGGAATGTGTTGGAAAATTCAGAATTGCCTTAGACGACTTGGGCTGATATGGTTCTTGAATAGCAAATGAGCATTACGAAACTACATCTTCTCGTTGAAGAGCTTGTATTTCAGAAATGTATGCGAGGTCCAGATCTGTCAAGCGACGCATGCATATTGAAGCAGACCTCGGAAGCAGTCAAGCTCTGGAGGTTTCCTTTCTCCTCACAACAACATTCAATCGTCAGACTGACTATAGAACAGGGAGCTGAATTTCTGCTCACTTTCTTGGTTGACCGGACTCGGACTAATCTGCTCGTACGTTTGCGTCTTGCTTGCTCTCTTCCTCTCTCTTAATAGACCAATCAATCTTGCACTGGTCAAGTTGTAGTTCAAGGCACCGGTCCGAATCCCGATCGAGCTCCAGCTTCCGAGTCGGCTACAGATCCAGATCTGGTTACAGATTCGCGTACAGTTTGAGAGCTATGTGCAATTTCGGGTACGGATTTAGCTATTTGTTCAGGTACGGGGACGTCTGCAGTTGTAGACGCAGGTACAGTTGCAGGTTGAGATGCAAGCAAGCGAGACCAGACGGCACGAGCTCCGTTTTTGTGGCTAGTCACGACACCGTTTTAGGCTCCCTGCCCAATGGTCTGGCTCCAAATGCGGTTAAACGAAAAGTCGAGAACGGCCAAAGTGGTAGGGTCGTAATGGATGAGCAATCGAGGGAGGAATTGAGTTCTGTGTGGATCTTGTTGGGACTCGGACCAGTGAAATCAAGCGGCAAATCGAACGTGTTTTACCAAGCAATGACAGAGGCAGAAAGAGACAGAATGACAAATAAAGTGGGATACGGAAACCAGCAAAGACAGAGAAAAAGACAGAGATAGAAGAGGGAAGAGCCAGAGACAGAGAAAGAAGCAGAAAGAGAGAAGAGTTATATAAAAAGATAGGAAGAGACAGAGCGACAAAGACAGAGAATTTCAACATGATTTCCATTTCGTAGGAGAATTTTGTCAT